TGCTTCGATCGGCGGGCTGCCGCTGGCTGCAAGGAGCTGCTCCTGGGCACCCGAGCCCTCGGCGTCGCCGCGAGCAGGCGGCGTCATGGGCGCCAAAGAGGGCGCAGGTTCAAGGCTGCTGCCGACTGCTTCAATCGGCGGGCTGCCGCTGACTGCAAGCAGCTCCTCCTGGGCGCCCGTGCCCTCCGCGTCGCCGCGGGCGGGCGGCGCGTCGGGCGGCGGCGGCTCCTGCAGGAGGAAGGGGGAGGAGTGGCCCAGAAATTTGAGTGCGACCTCCCCTTGGGAGGAGCCTCCAGCCCAAGGGGAGGTCGCACTCAAATTTCGGCAGGGCCTCTGGGGGGCACCAGCCACGGAGACCCAACGTGGTGGACCGACCACGCCCACGTGGCTCAGAAATTTGAATGCGACCTCCCCTTGGGAAGAGCCTCCAGCCCAAGGGGAGGTCGCACTCAAATTTCGGCAGGGCCTCTGGGGGGCACCAGCCACGGAGACCCAACGTGGTGGACCGACCACGCCCACGTGGCTCAGAAATTGAGTGCGACCTCCCATTGGGAAGAGCCTCCAGCCCAAGGGGAGGTCGCACTCAAATTCCGGCAGGGCCTCTGGGAGGCGCCAGCCACGGAGAGCCCACGTGGTGGACCACGTTGGACCGCGTGGCAGCCCACGTGGCTCAGAAATTGAATGCGACCTCCCCTTGGGAAGAGCCTCCAGCCCAAGGGGAGGTCGCACTCAAATTCCGGCAATGCTTTTGCATTGGGTTCCTCATCAGCACCCTTCCTGGCCCTCCTCCTGCGCTTGCCGGTGCTCACCACAGGGTCGGGCGCCTCTGCCGCCTCTGCCGCCCCTGGGCCGCTCGCAACCTCCGCCGGAGACTGCGACGCGTCGGGCGCGGCAGCGGGCGGCGCCTGGAACATGTCCCCCAGCGACCTCGAACCAGCTGCAGCCCTAACTAGCGCCGACGACTTCCTCTTGGGCGCCATGGGGTCCCTAGGGCCCAAGGGGCGTCGGAACGCGGGGGAGGCGGGCGCTCGCCTGCCCTTAGTGGCCAAAGCAGCAGCGGGATGGGAGGCGACGCGACCTACCCCAGATCTCATAACAATGGGGGGGGTCTGCTTTTTTGAGGGGTCTAACGGGCTTCGTTAAACACACTTGTCGGGGGGTCTCGATTTGGGACCCTGGGGGAGGTCCGAGTTTCCGCGCGGTTGCATCGATTTTGAGAGGGTCCCAGACCGGCCGTCAAACATTGTTTTGCCCCCCCCCCCGCTATTATGAGATTTGGAGTACCCTGAGATCATCTCTTGACTTGGCACATCCCGAAGTCAACAAACAAGGGCCTAGCTCAGAGCGAAACCGAGCTCCACCCCGATCTAAACCTGCCCTGCATGCATCTCACCCCCCCATTAGAAGCTACAAGCAGCGATGGTGCTGTCAACCTGAACGTCGCCTGCCCTCGCGAAAATCAAGCTTCTCGCAGCACTTGCATACGGAACATCCAAGACGATTCGGCGGGTGGCAGCAGAGGGGGGGAAACGGGGCCCTGTACAAGCATCTTCCCAAACTGCGTCTGTGAATGGGGCTCCAGTGCCCATGGCCCAATCGAGGGGCCAAGGCGACCCGACGCGGCCACTTCAGTTTCGGTCGCTGCGACGCGAGGCTGGGAACAGAGTGGAAGAGGGCGGATGACGAGGACAAGCGAGTCAACGAGGGGGCGACGACAGGGCCCACGCGAAGGCGAAGCCGCTGCCAGCGCCATTAAACTCATGACACGGCGCCCCGCGATGCAAGACGCGGAGTTGCCTTCGCACCCTCGCGAAGCCCAACGGGGCGACGCGCGAGACGCTGTCATCTTCGCGCTCCAGCGGCCTAGAGGTAGAGATCGCCGCGTGGCCGAGGCGGGGGGGGGAGTGGCGGGGGCAAGGCGTAGCCATGATGATATGATATGAATGTTTCATGTCTTTTCACAAGGCCACTGCGGGCTCCGGGTCCTCTCCAGGGCCCCTAGGCCGCTCCCCGCGCGGGCCTAGAATGGCCACAGCGACGGCGTTGCCTCCGTCAGCCATGGCCTGCAAGTCCTGCCTCCCCTCGACCCGGGCCAAAAAATAGCCCTCCCCGCCGATGGCATCCCGGAGGATCCGATGCCCGTCCTTGTCGCCGACCGCAGATCGGTCCAAGCCGAAACGAAGCCAGGCCATCTGTCTGCCTGCGGGGCGCCCTCTCTTGCCCCCACGGGCGCCTCTCAACGTCCTGTCACACTTGCAATCCTTGTGAACTGAGCAGTGGGCGTCCAGCGTCTGCTTCGTCTCACTGTAAACCAAAAAACCACCAGGCACCCTGATGTACTGGTAGTCGCCGCCGAGTTTCGGAGGCGGCGCCTCGGGCTCGGGATCCTCTGGCTGGCCGCCAGAAGGTTTCGAGGGGTCACCGGGCGGATCCTCCTCGCAGCCGTCGTCGCTCCCAGACGAGGAGCTGCTGGAACTCGAACTCGACGACGAGCTGCTGGAGCCCGAACTCGACGATGTGGAGGCTGCGGCGGCTGCAGGGCACGGCGCGTCGCCGCGAACCCGGCACTGGTCGAGCAGCAAGTCGCCGACCCTGGCTTTCACTCCGCCGCATGGCGGCTTCTTTGCAGCACGTCCCCTCTCCCGCTCGGCGATCGCCAACTCGTCGAGCTCATCTGGCTTCGGCTTCTCACGATGGGGCGCCCTGTACTTGGCAGGGTAGACTTCGGCGCTCTCCCCGCAAGACTTAATCTTGAATCTGAACTCGATCTGGGACCGCGGGATGTACCCCCATCGGTGGCACAAGAGCTGCAGCCGAATCTTAGTAGAGTCGTCGTCATGGAACATGGCCAAGACCTCCTTGGCGACCGACCAGACGGACGCGAAGTCGAATCTGTAATCATCATCGCCCCTCGAAGATAACATCAAATACTTGTCATCGAGTTCGCCATCAGGAAATGCACGCTCCTCACATCTAGCAAAGACGACCGCCTGAGGAGCGAAGCTCTTTCTTGCCCTGGTACCCGAAATGTAATAGCACGTGATAGCTTCGCTGTTCGGGGACGTGAAAGAAACGAATCGGCTGGCAGCCGAATGGTGCGTCACCCACCTCTCGATGCTCTTGGACATCCGGATGACGTCCTCGGAGGGCCCAACGGAGGTTCGGGGGCATGGAGTTTCCCACAGAGCCCCGCAGGAGCTAGTCAGAACCTCGCCAAAAAAAAACGGGTGCGGGAATCCCCTGGAGGACCCGAGCTGGGGGCGGGAACCTCCCCGCCTCCCTTCCTTGGAGGGGCTTAGGCGGCGCCTCCTCCCCCTCCTGATCCCCCTCTGCCCATCTGCCTCCTCTTCCTCCGCCTCCTCTTCCTGCGCCTCCTCGTCCTCCGCCCCCCCCTCGGCCCGCCCCTCTCCGTCCTTGTACACGGCGCGGTCGCGACCGCAGCAGAGCCCGGGGTGCACCTCCGCGCAAGCAAACCTCAGCACGAACTGCTTCTCGTGCGGCACGACGTTCTTGTCGCCCGCGCAAACCATGGAGCCCCTGCGGGCCCATCTCAATTCGTTGCCTCTCTTCGCGAGGCCCGTCTCAGAGCCCCTGTTGACATTCACGAGGTTCTGGGCGCTCACTGGCCACTTGCCGCATCCAGAGTAGAAGGGGGGAAAGAGTTTCACAGGGTCTGGCTGCACTGGGAGATCTTCCAGAGACTCCCTCCCTTCGGCGTCTGCGTCCAGGGTTTTATGGCGACGACTTCGGCAGTCCAGCAAGTGCGCGTCCGACCGCGGGCGAATGGCCGCCGAGCCTGGCCGAGGGCCCAGCCCCGCCTGCAGCCTGGAACTCGCGTGCCTCTGGGCGTTCGTCGCCGACAGGTCTGCCCGACGGGCCCGGACGCGATCTTGCCGCAATTGAACGACAGGCAAGCCTTCCCTTTTCAAGCTCTCCCTGTTGTGCACCAAGGGGTTCGACCCGCCTGCTATCTGAGAGTGGTCCTGCCACAGCTGCGCGAGCGTCCCTGCGTAGCCCATGGTCTCGGCATGCGGCCGTGCCCTCATCAAGGGAAGCGACATTTTCACTTCGCGGAGACGGCGCTCCATGTGCATGTTGGTCGCCTTCCACCGCTCCCGGATGCGGCCCACCAGGCTCAACAGGCTCACGCCTTGGGAGAGGGGGCGGGGGGTCGCCTGACAGAAAGTTCAACGCGAGGTGGCTGGAGGGGGAGATCAGGTCAAACAAGCGCGAGAAGGGAGAGGAGGAAGACGAAGAGAAGAGCGGGGGACAGCAGTGGAGGTGGCGGAAAGGAGGTCGAAAGAGGAGAGACTCCTGGCCCCAGGGGCCCATCGTCGGGCATATCTCAGAATTCGTGCCAATGATATCCCAAGATTTGGCAAGGCTGCCCCATTGCACATCTCAGACGTCACGCCAGGGGTATCCGAAGATTTGGCAAGGATCCCCCCCCCCGATCTGGGCCCTGAACCCCGGCTCGGGCGGCGGCGGGGAGGGGGGCGCAAAGCTGGACCTCCGTGGCCGCGAAGATGCGGCCCTCATAGCCCACCTCGTCCTCCTTCGCCCTCCTGTCCTCCCCAGATCACCCCGACGCTCCACTTTACCCCATTATTCCTCTCCCCATTCCCTGCCTCTCTCCCTTCGCCCGTCCCCCCGCCAGCCTCTCCACCTTCTCCGAGATTCCGCCTCCGCCTCGCCATCCCCCCCACCTCTCCTCCTCGGCCCTCCCATCCTCTCCACCTTCGGACGAATGGGCCCTGGGCCCTGGACGCCGTTCAGAAAGTCGGTCTCGGGGGGGGGCGGGGGGACGGGGAGATTCACGGCCCCCAATCGATGCCTGAGGGCCGCGGCATCTGCCAGTCCGCCTCCTGGAAACGCGCCCTCAGGGGTTCGCCGAACTGCTCGGTCAAGCAACACGGGGGCACCTGATAGAAATCATGAACTGCTTGCATATCCCCCTGTCGCGCAAGGAGAAGCCGTCGTTCTTCCGAATAGTTCGGGGCCTCGAGCCGCGCCCAGACCTGGCTGGACAAGTACATGACCGAAGACAACATCTCGTCGAGCAGCCCCTCGCACTCACTCTCTTCGGAATACTCTATCATCAGCGAGATGGGCCAAGTCGTGCGATCGCATCCAAGACCACCAGGGTCAAGATGCCGGTGGAGAAGGTAGTAAAAGCGGCGCTGGCAATCACCCAAACACCCGTTGTCTCGCCCAAGGATGTCGGCCAATACGTTGCCAACCTTGTCTAAATGCTGCAATCGATTAGATAGGCGGTCCAGGGGCTCGGACGCAATGACCGCGAGCCCAATCTGGCGAAGCAAATCATCACTGCCTAAATATTCAGAGCACTGTCTGGCTTTCTTGTTGTTGTACTCGGTCCAAGAATCCCCCTCCTCCGCCGCGCCGTCGTCGCGGTCATTGTCGATGCCGCAGGAGCCGACGATCCTGGGAAGGATGCGGTGCAAGAACGCGCCCAGAGCCACTCCTTCGCAAGCTGGGCCCCAAGTGTGCCAACGATTGAGCGCGGGCACCCGCTGCGATATCGGCTGGAGAATCACCTTCTCCAGGAGGCCTGCGGCCCTGCTCATCGCGACTTCTGGGGATCGCCCGTTGCAGCAACCTCGAGAGGGCACTAGCGGGCGGGCGAGGGGAGCTGAAGGGCGGGGGTAGGGCGTCGCCGTGGTTCACGCGGCATTGCATCGCAGATGGATCGGCGATGGGCATCCGACGGCGAAACCTCGCGCTCCAAACTCGCGCCCCTGGCCAGGGCAGGGCAAGCCGCGCGGATAATCCTGGAGTTCGACTGCCCCCCGCGCCCCCGCAACCTACCCCCGCCCCCGCGAGCCCTGCGCCCGCCCGTGCCCCTCGTCGACCTGGCTCCCAACACCAGTGGTGGAGACAATTCTTCGTCCAATCGCCATTGAAGAACTTCAGCAAACTCTCTGCGAGGTCGAGGCGCTCCCGGTCGAGGTCGCCAACCACGGCAGCCCCGCCGCGCGTGCTCAGACCGCGGAGCAGCGTGCCATCGAGCACTCGCCGATTTCGGTTCTGGAGTCTGGGCGGGGGCATCTGGCCGGGGAAGAAGCCCACCCCAGCCCTAAGGTCCGCCTTCGCAACTGCGTCCAGGGCCTGGCGGAATCCCTTGTACTGGCTGCCAAGGTTGAACGTGACCGACACCGAGTGCAACTGCGGAAGTAACTTCTTCCCACCGAACGCGCGGTCCGCAGCAACGTTCAGAATGTGCGAGGCGCAATTGTTATCGAGGAGCAGGGCGACGCCGCGGGCGCCCGAAGATCTGGCCAGCGACATCACATTCGTAGAATTCACCAAGTCGGCAAGCCATTGTTTAGCCCGAACATTTCCACTGTCCAAGTCGCCCATGCACGAGACTGCCACAAGGGGTACACTGCGAGTCATATCGAGGATGCTTGAAATCCGAAGATCTTCGAGAGTATCGACGAAAAGGGCTTCCGCTAACGTGGAGGCGTCGCTCCCTGACAGGAAGCGCGGCGGAGTGGCGACGGCCCCGCACTGAACCACTGGAAGAACTGAGCCGCCAGCGTTGGAAAGTCGGCACCAAGCGACGGTCGTGTCCTTCGCCAGTACTTGGAGCACGCCGTGAGTCGGAGGCTGGCGCTCGCCCATCTCGAGCAACTGCTGATACGTCAGCTGCCGCCACGGGCTGGAATCGCTGGCTCTCCACCAGTACTTCGACACATGCCTTAATTTGTCCGCCAGGATGCCGAACTGGAGGTCCATCGGCGTGCAATCCCAATCGAACGCATGCCAGATCCAACCAGAAGAACTGCTTCCAAAACTTCGCTGGGACTGGAGAGCCCGCCGCCGCGCCGTCTGGCGCGGTGGAAGCGCGAGCAGAGCGCAGCAACCTGAGCGCCAATTTTCTCTCTCTCTCTCTCTCTCTCTCTCTCTCTCTCTCTCTCTCTCTCTCTCTCTCTCATCTCTCTCTCTCTCTCTCTCTCTCTCTCATCTCTCTCTCTCTCTCTCTCTCTCTCTCTCCTCTCTCCTCTCTCCTCTCTCTCGTCTCTCTCTCTCTCTCTCTCTCCTCTCTCTCTCTCTCCCTCCTCCCCCCCCCCCCCCCCCCCCCACACACACAAACACACCGCCGCCACCCACCACCACCCGCCACCACCGCCACCACCACCGCCACCACCGACCACCCCAACCCCACCCACCTACCACCCCCACCACCCACCCCTCTCCCCCCCCCGCAACCCCCGCCCCTGTCTCAGAAGCGCCGAGGCCAACCGCGAGATCCAATGAGCATTGACGAGGCCCCTCTGACCCTTCATCCAGGCGAGGTGGCGGTATTGGCCGAAGGCCAGTGAATGAGAGCGACCTGCCTCAATCGTTGAGATACGAACTCTTCGTGGGCGAAGGCCACCAGCGCAGTGGCGTCGAGTTGCCGATGCGTCGACCGCTGGCGGTCTGACACCGTGCTCCCAAGACGAGCGAACGCCGACCTCAGCTGCTGCTCATCCTCCGCGTCCTCCTCCCCCCCTCCTCCTCCTCCTCCTCCTCCTCCTCCCTCTCCTCCCCAATCCTCCCCCTCCTCTTCCGCCTCCTCCTCCTCCTCCTCCTCCTCCTCCTCCCCCACCTCCCACTCTCGACCGCGCCGTCGACCTCGCGGGGGGGGGAACTTGACCCCCCCTCTTCCCATCACCTCCTCCTCTTCCCTCGACTCCCGCCTCTTCCCATCACTCACCTCCTCAGCCACCCTCCTCCCCCTCCCTCCTCGCCCAGACATCGTGGCCTGACAGCCTCGCGAACGAGTCGATCGCGTCGATCGCATTCCGCTGGGGGGCCCGCCCGATCCGGAAAGCCGCGGACCTAGGGCCCCCGCCGCAAGCACCCCTCTGGAGTCCAAGAGCTCGGATGCCACCACCCTTCGCCGAGGCCAGCCCCGCGGTACACATCCGATTTCGTGTTTTTTCTCCCTGGGGCCGCCAAACACTCGCCAACTCGCAATGCCGCGGAGTTGGCGTGCGCCACGACTCGATGCAAAGCTTTCTTTTCCCTGTCTGTCCTGGCGAGTTCCCTGGCAGCGGCCCTGCGCAGGTTGTGTCCCTGCCTGCTCAATTCCCTGGACCCACTCGGGAACCGACTCACGTTGCGAGCCGGGGGGCGCCGCTGCTCTCGCGGCCGCCTGTCCGCCGCCTCTGCCAGGGCGTCGATGTCGAGGTCGTCCTCCGCGATGGCGGCGATGGCTTCGCCGCTCCCCGCTGACAGGCCGTCGATGCTCACATCGCTGGCCTCCGGGGCGGGATAAATGAGAAGCAGAAGCAGAACGACGAGCCCCCGAGGCCGACCAATGCCAATGACGGCAGAGGACAACGGCGGGCGACGGCGACGACAGACGACCAACGGGCACACGTACGAACGCACGGTCGGACGGACGTCGCACGACGACAAACGACCACGAAATCACGCGACGACGACGACGGCGACAGTGGTCGACGACGACGGACGAAACGGAATCGGTGCGAGGGCCGAGACGAGCACGACGACAACGACGACGACAATAATGACGACGACGACGAAAGACGAGACGACGACGACGACGGCGACGATGGCCTCGTCAGCGTCCCCAGGCGGCAACGGGCTGTCGTCGCGCCACGCGGCCAACGCCATAGGCGGGCCCTCAGCCCAAAGGGCTGCGATCGGAGACGGCGAGCGGCGTTTCTCTAATTTCGTTCCTGCCCCCCGCTCGCCTCGAGCGTCTCCTTCCCCACCTCTTTCTCCTTGTTCCCCCTCCTCCTCCCCCTCCTCCTCCTCCACCTCCTCCTCCACCTCCCCCCATTCTCTCTGATGCAACCTTAAGAGCAGTGGCCTACAATCCGCCGCCGCGCCCACTGCGCCGGCAGGGCGTTGGACATCAGTGCTATTTCGCCCTTTAGTTATTGTGTATTGAATTTGTTGTCTCGCGTTCGCTTCAAATTTGTCTTTGGTGGATTATTGGTAACGCATTCGTTTCGACTTCTTCTTGCTTGATATATTGGTAGCGCATTCGTTTTCGAAATCGTATTTCTTGAATTCTTTGTAGCGCATTCGTTTTCGAAATCGTCTTTCTTGAATTATTGGTAGTACATTTGTTTCTTGGGTTGTTCACTCTTGAAATCTTGGTCGCGCATGCGGCCACGTGGTTTGCTTATTCTCACGATTTCCTATTCTTGGTAAGGGAATTTCTGGTAATTCTGGAATTATTGGTCGGGCCTCCGCCTTATGGGGAATTGGGGCGCTTCAGCAGATGGGCTAGGCAAGGCCCCCCGGATGCAGCGCCCCTCGCGTTGGGCAGGCGTTGCATTCGGGCCCTGAACCTACCCTTTCGGTCGGCGGCTACTCTTGGGCCCCTTCAGACGCCCCAGAGAGTTCCCCTGGTAGGCCGAGCGCGGCCGAGAGCGTGATCTGATTCGGATCCGTCGGCGGAGCACGAGGGCCTGCTTCGCTGGCACGGCGGCTACGGTGCTGCGCTTGCACGGCATTGGCGTTGCAGCGCTGGCACGGTGGCTGCAGTGCTGCGCTGGCACAAGGCTGGAACTGCTGCGTTGGCACGGTGGCTGGGTTTTTTCCTCCACCTCCTCCTCGTCCTCTTCCTCCTCCTCCTCCTCCTCCTCCTCCTCCTCCTCCCTCCTCCTCC